CGGCATCCGAGACAATCTCTTCTCTCACCAGCATGCCACGGCGAAGTAAGACAGCTAAGCTGCCTAGCCAATACGGCCAAGCTTGCAATGTCGCCGGATCTTTTACGTCTCAGCAACCTTCAACCGACACAACACCGCCTCATTCCGATCAACCGGACTCCCAGGCCCACAAACCACCGTAAAATTATGCCAATCCCTCGTCCCATCAACATCCAACCCTTCCACAGCCTCATACCTCTGCGCCATCCTCGCAATGACATACCCGGCCTCCGTCAGAGCCAGCTGCTGCCCGATACAAATCCTCGGCCCGCCGTTGAAAGGCACGAAATGCCACGCCGCGCCCGCGGAGCCCCTCTTCTTCTCCCATCTCTCGGGAACAAAGTCATCCGCGTCCTCGCCCCAGAGATCGTGCCGGCGATGAAGCACGTGCGTGCTGAAATTGACTTCCGTTCCCGCGGGCACGAAAATCGGGTCTGTGCCGGAGGGGCCGCCGCCTGTGGGGAGGGTTGTGTCGACGAGGGCGCGGCGGGAGTTGAAGGGGACTACGGAGTGGAGGCGGAGAGTCTCGGAGAGGACTGCTTGGAGGTAGGTGCACTGCTTCAGGGACGCGAAGGTCATTGTCTCTGCAGGATCTGTGGAAGAGGGGTAGGGTCCAAAGTTGGATGTGACCTCTGCCCGGAGCTTGGTGAACACGCGCGGGTTGCGAACGAGGCAGTACCAGACCCAACTCATCAGCGAGGCGGTGGTATCCCGTCCCGCGGCGAGCAACCCCAACACCTGCTCACGAACTTCTTCGTCCCCTCCCCCACCGGCACATCGCTCACGGAGAACAGTTAGGAAATCGTACCGCGCGAGGGATGAACCTCGGGCTTTTGCGCCGTCTGAGGCGGCGATGGCGGCGTCGACGAAGGCGTGGAGCGTCGCTACGCAGGAGCGGAGGTCTTTGTTCCCGTAGAGCCAGTAGAAGCCCCGGAGACGCATGCGCGTGCCGAGCACGGCGAGGAGCTTTTCAAAGGCGTGATTGAAGGCCGTGCCCGGGTGGGAGTTCTCGGCGTGGAGGCGAGCGGAGAGGGTTTGTGTGCTTTGGCCTAGGAAGAGTTCTGTTGCGGAGTCGAGGGTGAGGCATGGGAACAGGGAGGCGAGGCTCACGGGGGCGGACCATGTTCCATCTGCGGCGTTCAGGGCGGTGGTCTCCCTTTCGATACAGAGAAACAGCGTCTGGACATGTGCCTCGAGCAGATCCAGCCTGGACACATTATCGCGGCTGAAGAGAGGCCTCATCATCTCCCTGGCAGAACGCCACGCCGGTCCGTCGGCCGCGAAGATGCTTCGGCCGAGGACGGTCTTGAGGTTCGTGCTGCGGGCGAGGCCCATGCCGAAGTCGCGGAATTGCGTGGCGAGGAGGGCTTGGATGTTGCGCGGGTCGGCTGTGACGAGGTTTGTTGTGCCGAGGAGGGACATGCGGAAGGTGTAGACGCCGCCACCGTTGGTGTTGGTTTTGGTTTTGGTATGGCTGTTGTTGCCGTCACCACTGTGACGGAGGGCCGCGAAGCGCGCGGCGACATGGTCTGGTGTGCGCTGCTCGCGGTCGGCGCGGAGGGAGGCGAGGACGATGTCCAGCCCGAGGGGCCATTCTGAGGGTTCGAGGGGCGCTGGGCGGCAGGAGAGGGCGCGTGCGCGTCTGGCGTGGGAGATGTTGCGGTGGAGGGTGAGGAGGAGGTGGATGAGGAGGAGGAGGAGGAGGATCGGAATGAGGGCGTGGAGCGGGATGTTGTGAAGATGATGGTGGAGTTTGAGACTTGGGAATTGGGTCATTGTGGTGAAGGAGAACGTTTGAGATGCCATGTTGCGTGAGGTTTCCCTTATCTTTGGCGTATGTGAGATTCTTCAATTGAGAGACGTACAATTGATCTCTTACAGGCACGAGGACTTAGAATGCTATCACTATCATCGCCATTACAAAACTTCAGCTTCACGACGGTTGCTAGCCATCTTCATAGGAAGCGTGTAAGAAGACCCCTCCACGTTGAGGGTCTGCGCAGTTATTGGCCAAACGGTCAATATCACTCAACGTCACTGATTTCAATCGACCATTAGCCAACGTGCTCTAGTGCATGCTTGGCATTGGTCCGAAAGCTTGAGCCGTTGAGACGACATTAGAATCCAATAAAAGGGCCCATTGCGAGGTGGGAGAACGTAGACGTCCCTGATCCGAGACAGGGGACTTTGCAGACGCGGACGAACGGGGGATGGCACATGGGTACCCCCTGGATGCGGTCCGCTGACTCGGACGTCAACCATCCTGCTGGTAGGTGGCAGCTTTAGGGGTCGATGCTACCGGGCCGTTGACTCGCTTTTACGGAGACGAGTTCGTCCAATCATTTGTAATGTGCTTGAAAGAGAATTTTGTTGTTGTGGTTACATGATGGGTGCGGGTTCTTTTTGATGTTGGAGTGAAGATTGTTGCAGTAGGCTCAGAACGAATTGCATGGAGATGATTGCTGATAGAGTCACATCAATGATTGTTTGATGATGGAAAGGTAATCACCCTTGAGCACAATGTCTGTATAATCAGAATCTACAATCTACAACAACCTTCTCATGACTCTATAAGTCTAGGCGACTTATCTGGAGCGGCTTTATATATGCTTAAGACAACCTTCAAGCAACTATTCTAGGTCGTAACTTAATCATCAAAGGAACCTTCTCCCACATGATATATGTTCCTTGCTTGCTCCACCAATCTTCAGCAGGATTCTCGAGTTCAAAGTCGAAATTCCAAATCAACTTAGCCATGGTCAGGCTCATCTCTGCGTACGCCATCCTGAGAGACTGTCAGCGTTCACCTCGGTCTTATATCTCTTGGCATCTAATTTTGGGAGGAGGACTCACGCTCTTCCAATACAAATATGTTGTCCATAGGAGAACGGCTGGACTGCCGCCCGGTCATCGCCGGCGAACTCGGAATCGGGACCCAGCTCCAGCCATCTCTCCGGAATGAACTCTTGCGGTCGGCGGAAGTTATGCTCAGAGTGTCCCGCCGCGAACTGGTTCACTGCGACAGCGTAGCCGCCAGGAACCCACCTGCCATCAATGACCTCGCCCTCCCCCGGAACCCATCGGGGCAGGGAGCCGGGCGTGGGAGGGTACAACCGCATGCCCTCGTCAATACACGCGCGAAGGTATCTACAATTCTGCGCAGCAACCATCGTAATCTCCTCCTGCGTGCTAAATTTGCCGCGGATCTCCGCTTGTACCTTTTCAAGCTTCTCCGGGTTATGAAGTAGCAGGTACGTGAGACCAGACATGCCGCCGGCGGTGGTGCCGCTGCCAGCGACAATGAAGGTGCCCGCCAGCATCGTCAGCTCAATGTTGGTGAGCTTATTGCCCGCCTCCGGGTTGTTGAGGATGTAGGACATGAAGTCCTTGCCCGGGGTCGTAGCCTCGATCCGCTGTCGGACTTTGGCCTCCGTCATGGCGATGTGCTTGCGGCGGGACTCGATCACGCGGCGCGGCGCGATCCAGGTGAGGAGGTCGAAGACGCCATATTGTACTGTTAGCTGAATCCAGACGTAGGCTTTGGCGCGCGTGTTGATGAGGCGGAGCCAGAGCTGGTCGGCGTTGTTGAGGCAGTTTTCGGAAGTGCCAAAAGCGAGGTCTGGGTGGACAGGTTGTTAGCTGAGAAACAGACCAATATCCACAAGGGTTCGAACGTATTGTGAATATGAAAGTAACTTACCATTGAGAATATCGAAAGCAAGAAGATTGAACCATGTCGACAGATCTACAGCGCCCTCTTTGCAAACTTTCTTGAGCTGACTCACAAGAGTATCCGTGTAATTCTGAAAGTAGTACTCCTGCTCGCGTAACGCACGCTCCGAAAAGGCCGGGTTGATGGCACGCCGAAGTTTCGCGTGTCCCGCCTGGTCCTCCGTCATCAGCGTCTTTCGGCCCTCCATGGTGGGCGGCGCGATGCCGCGGCCGTCGAGGGCTTTTGGGAACTCGCTGGGCGTGCGCTGTCCGTAAATCTTCTTCCAGGCCGTGGAGCTCGTGTAGGAGAGCTCGTCAGGCGCGATGCGGACGACAGGCCCGTACTGGTCATGGAGCTCGCGGATGCGCCAGGTTATGCGGCCTTTCATGTTGACGTAGTTCCATGGCAGGCGGGAGATGGCCCAGAGCTTGGGGCCTGGGTAGTGTCGGAGCGGGCTGAGGTAGAGGTAGTAGAAGCTTCTGCAGAAGATGTATGTCGCGATCTGGAGAGTTGGTGAGATTTTCAGTTTGAGATAATTTTTTGAAGTACTGAACCTACCAGACACAGAGAGGTGATAGCTGTGTTGACAGCTGGAAGAGCTGGCAACCTGCTCAGTTGAGCTTGAATATGCTCAGGCAAGTTGACTGTGACCATCGTGATGATTGAAACTCCTTGACTTGACCACAGCATCAGCACTTATTCGAGCTAGATTGTCTGCATCGCCGTCGACGTCAAGAAAGCATTCAGAATCTTGACCCCCGAGCTTGACTCTCTCACTCATAGCTATGGTGGAGAGCTGGTCGGTGCACGTTCCGCAGTAACACGAACATGACGAGGCTCTCCGCGTATGACGGGTCCAGGGTCTCATGAGATGAAGTCAGTAGCCAAAGCAAGCCTGCCAATAAGAAAACAACATTATTGCACGTTCTCAAGGACCCGCAAAGAATCATCGTGGGATCCATAGTCGAGGAACGCGATAAGAAGGTCGCTGCGGTTTCCGAGGGCTTGATTCATGCTGAGCGGGCCGCGATGCTAGGGACTCCCTGACTGCCACCTCTAACCCCCTGTAGGTTGGGCCGGGTTGCTCGATGAATGCCGAATTTGTCGTCCAGGAACGGAATTCTTGTATTCAACTAGCTGCAGGAGAAAACCTTATATCCCGAGACATCCTGGAGCCGGCCCCATGAAAGAGCACGAGTCAATGCTTGTTTAGAAAACAAGCTCATTACCCCGGTCTTGGCCGTTGAGTCTAGGACCTCAAAATTCGACGGGCTGGGTTCATGAAGACTTGAGAACCCCACGGGTTTCATATACAGCACGTGGGAATGGTCTGCCAATGAGAGATTCTTCTTCACGAATCTCCCGCTCTGGGATGACAGAAAAATGGCACTCTAACTGCGCCCGTAGTTCGAAATCTGGCATCGCTGTTCCCCTGGACCCTTGGGTTGGCGAGTGGGGATGTTGGGGGCATGGCGGAGTTGACCCGACGGTTCCATTAGGAAAAGGAATCATTGATGATTTACTCGACATGTGATGTGGCCGAAATCGGCTCCCAAGCCGTGCTCAATCAGTCTGATGGACAATTGCTGTAAATTTTGACACGACTCTGTTCACTTGGTAGCTTGACGACGACTACACTTCAGGAATTCAGGCACCAGCAGGATGGCGAGAAGAACGAGTCCCGAGATCACCCTGGAGGAACTCAACCCCAGACTTTCGGCCGGAGCCTGCATTCATCTCACCGAATCCGAAGAATTTGGGAAATCAGACCTGCGATTTACAGACTATGAGCGTCCGGTAAGACCGGGGCAAGCTTCGACTAGAGACTCACGCTGACTGTGGATTGACATAGACGTATCTTGCGGCTGTTGAGCCGGCGTGTGAAGAGGATGTGATTCAGGTCATGAAATATGCCCGAGAAAAAGGCATCCCGTTCGCGCCCCGGTCGGGACATCATGCTGTCACTACGACGATGCGGCACCTAAAAGATGGGATTCTGATTGACATGCGTCCGCTGAGTAAGTTGGAATTTGATGCCAACAAGCAGCAAGTGACCGTCGGTGGAGGCGTCCTAACGGACAACTTTGTCAAGTATCTCGAGTCGATTGGGATGGAAGTCAGTAAGTACTGTTCCGTGGCTGAGTTCTGCATATCCAAGATGGCATGCTGATATCGTGGCAGACGTTGGGTCCTGCCCGACCACGGGTGTCTTAGGAGTAGCATTCGGAGCCGGTCTCGGCCGTCTTCAAGGCAAATACGGCTTCTTACACGATAACATGGTGTCTTGCAAGATGGTTCTCGCCGACGGGAGCGTTGTTCTCGTGTCCGAGGACTCGAACCGCGAATTATTCTGGGCTATTCGCGGAGCTGGGCACAACTTTGGCATTGCGCTCGAGGCTACGTTCCGCGTATATCCCCAGGCAAACGGGGGCATCCACTATACTTGGGACCTGGAGTATACCGTTGAGCAGTCTGATTCTGTCTTTGAGACTCTCAACGACGTTCATGAAGTCATGCCAGCCAATCTGGCCATCTTCGTGCTGTGGGTTCGCCAGAGTGAAGGTGGAAGAAAGGTCAAGAGTCTTCACCCTACCGCGAAAAATCAAGGCTAACATGTCTGCACAGCATCACATACTCGTTAATCTTGTTTGGTCTGGTCCCGAAACCGAGGCAGATCCATGGGTTCAACGATTCAAAGGCCTAAACCCCGTTATCAACAGCGGGAAAGTAACGACAACCTGGGCTGACCTCCCGTGGAAAACATACAAAGGCATGAACAACGTTCTCAGTAAGCCAGAGGTCTGGTCTAAAGCGCCTTACAAGATGATGGGGGCTGCTTGCGTCGAGAAGTTTGACCTCAAGACCACCCGGGCATTCTTTGAGAGTGTCAGATCCATGAACGAAGAATGGGCGGGCAAGGGCTTCTTCGGGGCCATGTTCGAATGCTTGCCCCACCAAAAAGTACGAGAGCTACCCAGCGAAGCGACGGCGTTCCCTTGGCGCTGGGGATCGAATCATTTCTTGTGAGTTGATGCTGAACTGGTGTTTCTGCTTCATCTGATCAAAGAGAGCGCTGACTTTCATAAATAGAATGCTCATGGCGACGCCGTTGAAGCTCGAGTTTAGAGAGAAGTTTGAGGAGCACCTTGACCGGTGGAAGAAGGAGTTCATCACAACATCGGGTTATGGGCGGTTGCAGCAATACGTGAACTACGGCAACACGACATCTTCGATGCGAGACCCCCCAGAAGCTTTGTATGGATATGAACCGTGGAGGCTAGAGAAGTTGCGCGCCTTGAAGCAGCTTTACGATCCCGACAACGTGTTTTGCTGGTACCAGCCTTTGGTGGAGCCCGAGGCTTCAGATGTTGTAAATGCCATCTGACATATTATTACTTTCTCTTAAAAGTCCTATCTGGATCTATCAATCGGAAGAGTTTTGAAGTCTACTGCAGATGTGATACGTGACTTAGATGTGCAGTGAGATAGCTATTTGAGAACGATGTCTGAAGGAAGCCCCGCCATCGGACCCGGGGTAAGTACGTAATCGGCCGAGATTGTTCATTTTCTTTAAACGCCTCGGGGACGGGCCTGGATTACTCCCCGCAATTATTTCGTATAAAATTCGGCCGGCAATACGCGTAACGAATCCATCGTAGCGATGCCGGCGGCAACTCGTCTAGGCAAATCGCCTTTACAAGGACAAACAAAAGAACCCACGTGTTATGAGATGTGTTGCAAAGACTCAGCTATATCAATATGGGTACGTTTGTTCGCCAATCGCTCCAGGGTACAGCTCTGCTAGGATATCCTGAGACCCGAGTCAGCGGCACCGCAAGTGCTCCACAACACAATATCAGATGTGAGACCCAACAATTAGGGACCCATTACAGCTGCTCCCTTGGTGAACGGGGCCGGTTGCTGTTGAACCCATAAGTCCCCCGGATTCTTCCCGTACTTGGCAGGACCCTTGGCGATCGGGATGTGGAAACGCTCCGGCTAGAGCATACACAGTCATCTCCTCTATGGTGTCGGGCCATCACCGCTCTTGTGTAGTCCCGCTGCGCACAATAAAGGGCGACAAGAGGCCGACAACGTGCTTGTAGGATATGATGGTATTGGACAACTTGTATTCTTTGGATGGAGTCGTTCGGACTCTGGTTGAGGCGAGTATCTCGCCCTTATCTGATGGCATGGATGAACCTCACCATGAGGCATTGCTATTGTGAAAGGAAATGCGGAATACTCCGATCGGAATCGTTGGAGGCAGACATATGACACCTTGATATCTTGCTGTTTTTCTTCGTTTGCTCTTTGATTTTCCCTGACACTCTCGTCCTGCCCAATCCTTCCATAATTCTACCAAGATACCCAAGCGCCATACTCATTAGTAATTCTCCTTCTATTGTCCCCTGTTACGCAAAATGCCGTTCATTAAGGAGCCCACCTGTGCTGAAAGCACATGTCAGCCCATTGCCATCATTGGTATTGGATTGAGAGCCCCCGGCGATGCCTCTGATCCGGAGAAGTTCTGGCAGATGCTCTTGGACGCTCGCTCTGCGCGATCCGAGATTCCCAAGGACCGCTACAATGTTGATGGCTTTTACCATCCCGACCCTGAAAGGCTGGGAAGCATCCAGCCCAGGTAAGCCCGATCTCCTGAGAATACCTCAAGACTTACCGCCTCATCGTTCTCTTAAGGCATGCGCACTTCTTAAAACAGGACTTCAAGGTGTTTGACGCACCGTTCTTCTCTGTCACACCTAAGGAGGCCAAGGCCATGGATCCGACGCACCGGATGCTCCTTGAAGCAACTTACGAGGGCTTCGAGAATGGTAAGTATATGGCAGTCTAGCAGACCGGAACGAATAAACCATTTTCTAATCTTGCGTCAGCTGGTCTGAGACTGGAAGACGTCTCGGGAACCCAAACATCATGCTACATTGGTACCTTCACCGGAGACTTCCCCAACTTGCAAGCTCGTGACAACGAAGGGCCCTCTATTTATCGTGAGTACCCACTCCTGTCATTCATTTTCTAGAATCGACATTCTGATACCTCATTAAAGATGCCACCGGTCTCTCTTCATCCCTTGCCTCAAATCGACTTTCGTGGTTCTACAACCTGAGAGGTCCCTCTATGACAATTGACACTGCATGCTCATCTAGTCTGACGGCCTTTCACCTGGCTTGCCAGAGCATACGTACAGGAGAGGCAGAGATGGTGAGTGAAAAACAAGCAGATGGAAGAGTCCCCAATACCAAGTAAAGCAATTGCTGACGCAAAACTTCCATAACAGAGCGTTGTCGCTGGCGCCAATCTCATGTTCGGCCCAGACATGTCTATCCTGCTCGGTGCTGCCAAGATTCTCTCCCCTGAGGGAAAGTCCAAGATGTGGGACGCGAACGCAAACGGCTTCGCTCGCGGAGAAGGGTTTGGCGTCACCATTCTCAAGCCCCTGGATGCCGCGCTTCGCGACGGCGACACCGTCCGTGCTGTTGTGCTGGCCTCAGCAGCAAATGAGGATGGCAGAACCCCTGGCATCTCGCTGCCGAACAGCGAAGCTCAGCAGGAGCTCATCCGCACTGCGTACCGCAAAGCTGGCGTCGATCCCGCAGAGACTGGCTACGTTGAGGCACACGGCACAGGAACGCAAGCTGGCGACCCTCTGGAAGCCCGCGCTATTCTCAAAACGATTGGAGATCAGCCCAGCCGCAAGTCTGAGCTGTATGTTGGTTCAGTAAAGAGTATGTTCAGCCCTGTTTTCATTATTTCCTTCACAGTTACTGAAAGAATTGTGCAGCAAACATCGGTCATCTGGAGGGCGCTGCTGGCGTGGCCGGTGTTATCAAGGCTGCCCTGGCCGTCGAAAGGGGTTTGATCCCCCAGAACTTGTGGTAAGTTCTCCCTTCACAACTACTTTACTTAGAAAATTCCGGTCAGTGATCTGACTGATTTATGTCTCTACAGGTTTGAAGAACTCAACCCCCAGATTGAGCTACCCGTTAACGTCAAGATTCCCACAACTCTTACTGTGTGGCCTCATAGCGGCCCGAGACGTGCTAGCATCAACTCCTTTGGCTTTGGAGGAGCCAACGCCCATGTCATTCTCGAAGATGCCGCATCCTATCTTCTCCGCCACGGTCTCCCAGGTCGCCATGCGACAGTTCACAAGCCAAGACTACCACAATCTCCTTCCAGCAATGCCAGCGACGGTGGCTCTGAAACGGAGACGACCAGAAGCATCAGTTCAGAAGAGCCCAGCTCAAAGCTCTTTGTGCTTTCCGCGAATGATCAAGATGGTGTCAAGCGCAACGTCGGAAGGATGATCGACTATCTTGCCACTAAGACCTCTGGTCAACCGCTCTCAATGGCCGACCTTGCCTTTACTCTCTTTTCAAAACGGACAATTTTGCCCTGGAAGTCTTTTGCAATTGCTTCCGACATCAACAGCCTTTACCAGAGTCTTGAGTCTATCCCCGCTGTCGTTCGATCATCCAACTCGTCTGTGCCTGGTGTCGCCTTCGTCTTCACCGGCCAAGGAGCTCAGTACTTCAAGATGGGCAAGGGCCTCTCCGTGTACAAGGCTTTCAGAGACAGCATGCTGCGCTCTGAGACGATTCTCAAGTCCCTTGGCTGCACATGGACTTTGACCGAAGAACTGGATCGCCCCGAAGCCGAGTGCAACCTACGCCGGACGGACTACAGCCAGCCAGCTTGCACTGCCTTGCAAGTCGCGCTCGTTGATCTCGCAAGGGAATGGGGTGTTAAGCCTGTAGCTGTTGTTGGCCACTCTAGCGGAGAGATCGGAGCCGCCTACTGTGCAGGCTTCATCGATCATGAGGCAGCGGTGAAGATTGCGTGGCTGAGAGGTCAGGTCTCTCAGACTGTTTCCAAGAACGGCGGCATGTTGGCCGTGTCTGCGAGCGCCGAGAGCGTCAGCGAGCATCTTCAATCTCTCAAGCTCGGAAAGGCCATCGTCGGCTGCATCAACAGTCCCAAGGCTTGTACGATCTCTGGAGATGATGTTGCTATTGGCGAGTTGCAAGAGATTCTCAAGGAAGCGCAGATTCCATGCACCCGCTTACCCATGGATGTGGCCTATCATTCTTTCCACATGGAAGCCGCGCGGGAGAGATATGAGGCAGCACTGGCTGGTATTCCTCACCGTTCTTCTGACATTCCCATGTTCTCTTCTGTGACTGGAAAGCTTGTCACCCCTGAGCAGATGACACCTTCTTACTGGGTGGAAAACTTGACTTCTCCCGTTAACTTCGTGGGTGCCGTTCGTTCTCTCTTGCACCACACGCAAGGCAAGGTCCGATCTCACGACAGATTTGCATTTGCATTTGCAAGTGCATTTGTCGAGTTGGGCCCACACTCAGCTCTGAGAAGCTACCTGCTCGACACATTCTCTACTGAGGACAGATTCTCAGACCTATCCTATGCCACGATACTACGACGCAAGTTCGACGGCGTTCAGACTGCCCTGGAAGCGATGGGACAATTGTGGACTAAGGGGTGCGACGTTGACATCAACCGCGTCAACGAAGTCACATCTGACACTAATATGCTAGTGGACTTGCCGCCGTACGCATGGAACCACAAGCTCTCTTTCTGGGACGAGTCATACCTCAGTCGCGAGTACAGACTAAGAGAGAAGCCGCGTACGGATTTGCTTGGGTACCGAATCCCAGGTACTCCGGATCCCACCTGGCGCAACTTCCTTCGATGCAACGAGAACCCTTGGATCCGCGAGCACAAGGTCCAGGGCGACATTCTCTATCCTGGAGCGGGTATCGTTGTCATGGCTATTGAAGCAGCTCGCCAGCTTGCGGAAGAGAACCCTACGGAGGAGGTCTATGGATACGAACTTCGCGACGTTGCCATTGACACTGCCCTTAGAGTACCGGACACCGACAAGGGCATCGAGGTAATGATTCAATTGCATCCTCGTCGCACTGGTACCAAGGCTGGTCCGTCTGCTACCCTCAACGAGTTTGCTGTCTCTTCTTGGTCTGAAGACATCAAGGAGTGGACAGTGCATGCGCGGGGACTGGTCTCTGTCACCTACAAGTCGTCTCTCTCCCCGGCCATGCAAGGCGAGCTGGCTCTCGAGAACAAGCGCTACGCGCAAACCTTTGCTGAAGCCAAGGAGATCTGTCAGAAGCCTGCACGAAGCTTCCTTTACGATACCGTTGAGACTATCGGCATGCAGTATGGCCCGACTTTCCGCAACATGACCGAGCTTTTCGCTGGGCCTAGTGCAAGCTACGGCATCATCAGTGTACCGGATACCAAGGCCGTCATGCCCAAAGGTTTCGAATACCCGTTCGTGGTTCACCCAGCGACCCTCGACTCTGTGCTGCATCTTCTCTTCCCCTCTATCAGTGGCGAGGACCAGTCTATCAGTGAGGCAG